GAAGATCGCGGCCCACTTGACCAAGCTTCAATGCGAGGATCGACCATTTGACTTTGGAGAGGAGGCGCGAGAATCATTTTTGGCTCTCAAAGCCGCGCTATTATCTGCGGAGGTCTTGCGCATATACGACCCGCTTTTGCCTACACGCGTCACTACGGATGCGTCCGGCTATGGCATTGGACCATTGGTGTCGTCCTGGAGCAACATGATGGTGTGGACTGGCACCCGGTCGAGTATTTCAGCAAGAAAGTGCCCGTCGTGCATTCCATTGACGATGCACGCAAGAAGGAGCTTCTCGCCTTCGTCCACGCGCTCAAGCAAGACCCAAGACACCGTCAACAGCACCATCGCTCGATGGATGGCTTTCATCGACCAGTTTGACTTCTTTCCCGATCACATTCCGGGGAAGTCGAACCGTTTTGCGGATGCTCTTTCATGGCGTCCGGATCATTGTACCGCAGTCTACTCAACCTTCGAGATCGACGACAACCTGCGGAACAGCTTCATCCGCGGCCACCAACCGACCCCGAGTTTCGCGACAAGTACGAGAATTGCTCCTCTCCTAATCCGGCGCCTTCTCACTACCGGATCCAAGGGGGGTACTTGCTTGTCCACGCACGGGGGAAGGACCTTCTTTGCGTACCGAGTGATCCTCACTTGCGTACACGGCTTCTTGGCGAGTTCCACGATGCTCCTGCCACCGAACACTTTGGAGTCAATCGCACGATTGGCCGACTTCGCGAGTGATTTTGGTGGCCCGGCCTTCTCGACGACGTCACACGCTATTGCGAGTCATGCCAGGTTTGCCAACGCTGCAAATCCTGCAACCATCGTCCGTACGACGAGTTACAACCATTACCGGTCCCATTGAGGCAAAGGGAAGCGATTGCCATGGACATTACCGGCCCGTTTCCCAAGCACAAGACCGGAGTGGATGGGATTCTCACGGTGGTCGACCAACTCACCAAGTTCGCCATGTTTTTGCCTTGTCGCTATCATGCCAAGGCACCGGAGTTGGCCGAGGTTCTCTATGCCGGTTGGATTCGAACCAAGGGTTACCCCAAGGAAATCGTCTGCGACCGCGACATTCGGTTCATGTTCGATTTTTGGTTGGCGCTCATCAAGCGATGGGGTTCATCTCTCAAGCCCAGTTCAGCTCGCCACCCCCAGACCGATGGCCAAACGGAGAGGGCGCACCAAACCGCACAGGTTCTCCTTCGCACTCTCATCCGTCCTGACCAGAAGGATTGGGTTGAGCGGCTGCCGGATGTCGAGTTGGCCTACAACTCCTCCATCCACTCGGCTATCGGGATGTCGCCTTTCGAGTTTGAGCACGGCTCGCCGGTCACTTCACCGTTGGACACTATCACTCCACGAACGGCCCAGAGCGACGACCATCTTCTTTTCTTGCGTCGGATGCAAGAGCTACTTGTCAAGGCACGCGACGAGATGGCCAAGACGCAGTAACGCATGCGCCAGCAGGCCAATCGCCAGCGTCTTCCTTGCCCATTCCGCGTCGGCGATCTCGTTTGGGTCTCCGCCGCGGAATTCAGCCTTGAACAAGATATCTCTCGCAAGCTCCTCCCGAAATGGATGGGGCCTTGGCCAATCGTGGGACCCGCTGGGGACGCACCCGAGGGACCTTCCTTCACGATTCAGGTGCCCGCCCACTTGCCCGTCTACCCAGTCTTTCATTGCTCCAAGTTGGCTCTTTACACGCCAGCGGAGCATGACGATTTTCCTGGGAGACGTTCGCAAGACCCACCCTCTATGGACGGTTTTCAGGAGGTCGGCGACATCATCTCCCAGCGACGCTACGGCAACAGGCCAACCGAGTATTTGGTGCATTTTGCATACTGCACACACCGAGCTGACCGTTGGTTGACCCGTGCGGAACTTCAAGCAACAGCTCCAGACGTTCTCGCACGCTACGAACGCAAGATGCAAGGCAAGCCGGTCTCTTTGGCTCCACGCGGCGCCCGCGCCCAGGTTCCACCTTCAGATCGCCGGCTTCGCCCTCGCCCCGACTTGACTTCATAAGGGGGG